ATATATATATATATATATATATATATATATGCGTGTGCGTGTGTTTGGGGGTATAGACAACTTTGCTGTTGGGTATTTCCGGAAGCAGGGTTTTACGCAGAAGATATCGATGCCAAAGGAGCGATGGTTTGGGTTTATTAAGGACTATGAGGGGGGCACTTTGATGGAGTGCAGGATATCCCCTAAGGTCGACTACCTGCGTTTGTTTGCAATCCTAAACGAGCAGCAGGAGGCAGTGCAGCGAGCTATCTTGCGGCTGAAGCCCCCTCGGGTCTTCCCTGGTCTTACTTGCTGGCAGGTGCGTGAGTGGGGGGCCTTCGCCTTCTAGTTTTAGGTGTTGTACTGTGGCTTCTGTATCCCAAGGCCCCTCGCGGCATCTTCAGGTGTATGCACAGCTCCCGGTTGCGCAGACACCCCAACAGGGAGCTGGAGACCAGCAGCAGATGCGTGCGTACTCTCCGCCTCTAAACCGAACAAACAAACAAGCAAACAAAAAACAAGCAAACAACCAAACAGACAGACAAACAAGCAAACCAACAAACCAACAAACAAGTAAGCAAGTAAGCAAGCAAACAAACAACGCTTTCGTGTTTGTGCTGCTCAGAAAGACCCCACGCGGGTGCTGCATCCTTCTCAAGTGCCAGGGGTAGTGGAATACGGCTGGACTCCGCAGGCAGCAGCAGATGCAGCAGGCGAAGGAGCAGCAGCAGCGCGACCACTGCACGAACAAATCGTGCAAGTCCTCGATATCTTAGCCCGACACCACAGCGCATGGCCGTTTCATAAACCCGTTGCAAAAGATGAAGCCCCCGACTACTATGAAATCATCGCACAACCCACAGATATCTCCACCATGAAGAAAAAAGCCAAAAAGGTACAATATGTACATAATATATATATATATATATATATTATATTATTATATATATATATATTATATATATATATATATACGTGCTTTATGTATATGAAGCTTGCCCATACCTATGTATTTCATATACGCATTTATACATCTAGAGCAGACATGTATATATATATTATATATATAGTATAAACCTTTACATCTGCGTTTCAGGTATATATGCCCATGCTTGTATGCCTGAAGTACGCGCATGCACATACACATACGCATACAATCCAGAGACCTGAAACACACACAGACGGACAACGTACATATACCCCTGACACGCGTATATATATATATATATATATATATATATATATCTGAAACGGACAGGCATACACCTGAAACACAGATACACCAGAAACACAGACAGGGATGCACCTGAAGTACATGCACGAATACACCAGGAACACGCACGGACACGCACACATTCACTCCCATAACGAACAGCCCCCTGCATTACCATAGCCCTGCTTGTAGCACGAAGCTCTCTTCCATTTAGCCGAGTTAAAGCTGGGCCTTATGCTGTTGTTGCTGATTCTCTTGCTACTGCTGCTGCTGCTGCTGCTGCTTCTGTGGCGTTTTTCACAGTTGGTGGCACAACGCACATGGGCTGTGTGCTGCTGCAACATCTGCGTGTGTGTGATGGGGGTACGTTTGCTGCAGCAGAGTGTCTGTGGTTTGTAATGTATTTTGCTGCTGCTGCTGCTGCTGCTGTACAGAAACAATTCCCCAACAAGGCGGCGTTTCTTGCGGAGTTGAGTCGCATGTTTGCAAATTGCCGGCGTTACAACGGGCCCTCAACGATATATTATAAATATGCAAACGAACTAGAAAAATTCATTTGGCCTAAGGCCCTACAAATCCAAGACACCCAGGAACCCGCAGGAGCCCCAGCATCAGCAGCAGCACCAGCAGCAGCAGCAGCCGACGCCTTGCGGTGATACGTTCGCGATATGCAGCACCAACAGCAGCTACTGTTGCACTAGCAGCAGCACCAGCAGCAGTAGCAGCAGACGCCTTGCGGCTATACGCTCGGGGTATGCGGCAGCAACAGCGGCTACTGCAGCAGCAGCAGCAGCAGTAGCAGCAGAAGCCTTGCGCTGCTACGCGCGGGAGGTGCAGATGCAGCAACGACAGCTGCAGCAGCTGCTGCTGCGTCGTTGGAGCCGCCAGTGGGAGCGTCTGCAGAAGCTGGAGCTTCTCGATTAGGGGCAGCAAGATGCTGAGGGCTGCGTCGGCAAAGCAGCGAGACAAAGGGATAAGCAAACAGATATAGTGAAAGCTGTGCACACACCCAGACAGCAAATAACAGCAATAGAAAGCAAAATCTCTCTAGAGCCTCCATACACCCGGCTGGCCCCAGGAGGGTTCATATTTGTGCTTCAAGTTGAGGCGCTTGTGGGGCCCTCCACTTTGCGTCTCGAGCAGCAGCAGCTGCTGCTGTTCCTGCTGTTGCTGCTGGAGTCGCCAGTAGGGGCGTCTGCATTCTTTTATTCGGTTTGCTTTTTGTCTGTGCTGCATATAGCTTGCCTCAGCTCAACCCTCAGCTGAGAGGCGCTGTCTTGTGCAGCCCAGACTCATCAGGGATTGTTTAGTTAGCCAGCTAGCTACCTAGCTCGCTACTCAGACAGCTAGCAAACTAGCCCGCTACCCAGACAGCTGGCTAGCTGGCTTCCTATCCAGTCAGCTAGCTGGCTGGCTCGCTATTCAGCCAGCTGGCTCGCTATCCAGCCAGCTAGCTAGCTAGGTGTGTTGCCTAGCTAGCTAGCTGGCTGCCCCGCCTAGCTAGCTACATCGCTGTGTTGGCTAGCTAGCTAACTGTGTTAGCTAGCCAGGCAGCTAGCAAACTATCTAGCGATAGTACTTACTGCGTAGAGGCGAGGCAGCTTTCGATTGCAGTGTCAGGGTTTGTGCTGTACGCTGCGTCTGGCTTGTGGGATGTCCGTCTCTTGAGGTGTATGTGTCTCCTTCAGCTGTATGTTTCCCTTTTTAGCTCTTTGCTTGCATGCATTTAGATATATACTTCGGTGTCTATACGCCAAAGACCCACGGGCGCAGGCATCTTGCAGCCGGAGCCCTATAATACACCCCGGCCCTGTTAGATAGGGATAAGAATAGACAAATAAACAGAGAAAGAGGGGCAGATATAATGATGGGGAAATAAACACAGAAAGACAGATAGAGATAATGAAAGAGAAATAAAGACCGATGGATGCAAAGTTCAAAGAAATAAACAAAAAAAGAAGACAGATAGAGGCAGAGAAATAAACAAAAAAAGAAGACGGGTAGAGATAGTGATAGAGGAACAAACACAGAAAGACAAGACATACGGAGATAATGATAGAGCAATAAACAAAGAAAGGCAGAGATGCAGGCAACAATAATGAGACCGAGAGAATCTGCTTTGTCCCCTGTCTGAGACAATGAATGGCCTGCAGCGGTAGCATCTTCTTTTTGTTTATTCTTTTATCTCAAGTCTCCGCTGTTGCTGTTGCTTCAGCAGCAGCAGCAGCTTAGGGCCGGGTCTGTACTTGGTGCATTCACTGCTAAGAAAGTCAATAGGAATGATTAGCAGCTGTCTGTTGTGCCCGTGCATGCAAACAAAAAAGGTTTGTTGCTGTGGTTGCATGCTCATTCTTTATTCTGGGGGCCTTCCCTACATCAAGCTCCGCCATCTGCAGCATTTGCTTGCTTAAAATATAAAATTATATCAACAATTAGTCTGTCTTACTGCCCTTTTCCCTCCTAGTGTATATATACATATGTATGCATATGTATAATGTATATATACATATGTATGCATATGTATATATACATATGTACACATACATATGCATGCATATGTATATATACATATGTATATATACATAATATACATAAGTATATATCTAGTATGTATTGTACTATATATATATACATATATATACAGGAGAGTCGCTGCACGTAGAGGAGGCACCTCTAAATTAAACAGCTGCAACAGGTGTCTGCCACATTCAAAAGAATAATAACAAGAAGAAAGACAAAACAAATTAATAATCTAATGAGCAATGTAATGAAAATTTATCAACAAAACAAAGCAGGTGCTTTCTATGGCTTTGCTTAACTTCCATCTTAGTGCTTAATAGGGCTATTCATGAAATATTACAATAAAAACAAACAAAAAACTAAACAAATATTTCCTTTTTAGTAAAAGCCGAACAGTAGCAAACCACAGCAATGATATGCATGCGCCACCGCCTGCTGTCAGCAGCAGCAGCAGCAGCAGCAGTAGCAGCAGCAGGGGTAAGGAAGCGGGATGGCTGAATATGAGGTTTGATGATATTTATCGTTACAGGTCACCATACAGCTGCAAAGAGAAGAGTAGGAGAAGCAAGCTGCAGCAGCAGCAACAGCAGCAGCGGAGGCAGCAGCAGAGCTCGTGTTGCAGCGTCTGCTGCTACGGGACTGCTGCTGCTGTGTTACAGCAAACTCAGGCTGTTGCCATCCTTAAAGAGAAACACCACTGTTAGCAGCAGCAACAACTTGCTGCAGAGGCTTCTTCAAGCGCGTGCAGCAGCAGCAGCAGCAACAACCACCAGCAGCAGCACCACCCCCAGGGTGGGCACCATTGGTACTTCTACCAGCCTTAGCAGCAGGTTGGCTGTTTGCAGCAGCAACTGCAGCAAAGTCAAAATCAGTAGCGTGGATTAGGAAGAGGAGCTGCACACAAATGTACGGCTGAAGCGCACAGCCGCACAGGAGCAGCGCAGCAGCAGCAGCAGCAAAAGCAGCAGCAGCAACAGCAGCAGCAGCAGCACATCATGCTAGCCACTCATGTCTCTGCAGCAGCCCCATGGGAGGTTCAGATGAGGCGGTGGAGCCCCTTTATTCAACGGGGCCGCCACAAGAGCAGCGGCGCCACCACCGACAGCAGCAGCAGCAGCAGCAACAGCAGCAGCAGCAGCAGCAGCAGCAGCAGCAGCAGTCCTTTCTCCGCAGCAGGATCAGCTCCAACTCAGTTGGGAGCAGGCATAGTTATCCGTTGCCGCTGCTTCGCCCCCTCACGCAGCTGCCGCAGCTGCAGGAAAACCCGATTGCCCAGCAGCAGCAGGGGCAGCAGCATCAGCAGCAACAGCAGCAGCAGCACTACGAGGACCTGCGCCATGGCACCCTCGGATCGTCTCCAGCGCAGGCGGGGGATTTGCAGCAGCAGCTGCTGCTGCAAACCACGCTCTTGCGGCACCAGAGCTTCAGCCCCTCTAGCATGAGCAGCAGCAACCGCCTGCTGCAGCAGCAACACACAGTCCGCCAACCTTTTGCTGCTTCTCCTTCATCAACAGCTTCGGCTGCTGCTGTTGACGCTGCTGTCACTGGAGCAACACCAGCAGCAGCAGCAGCAAGATACAGTGGAGCGAAGGGGGTCGAGCAGCAGCGCGCTGCAGCAACACCAGCAGCAGCAGCAACGGCCGCGGCAGCATCAGCAGCAGCAGCAGCAGCGCCTCCCAAACTGCACTCTCTAGACGGCCCTGGTCTCCTGCAGCACGCAGCACCAACAAGTGCTGCTACGGGAACAACAGCAACTACTGCAACAGAGACAGAAGCACCGCCACCAACTGTTGCTGCTGCTGCTGCTGCTGCTTCCACTGCCACGCAGCAGCAAACGACACCAACCTCACGGGGGCAGCAAGGACCGTTGCCGAATTCTAGAGCAGGTGCACCAGCAGCTGCAGCTGCTGCTGCCACTGCTGTTGCCTCCCCACACCTGGATTGCACGACGCCCTCCTCCATGCAGCAAAAGCAGCTGCTGCAGCGGCAGCCGCTGCAGCAGCAGGCTTCCCTGCAGGCTTCATCGATGCAGCAGCTGCCTGTGCAGCAGCAGCAGCCTCTGCAGCAGCAGCAGCCTCTGCAGCGGCAGCAGCTTCTGCAGGAGCAGCAGCAGCAGCTTCTGCAGGAGCAGCAGCAGCAGCCGCTGCAGCAGCAGCAGCTTCTGCAGGAGCAGCAGCAGCAGCTTCTGCAGGAGCAGCAGCAGCAGCCTCTGCAGCAGCAGCCGCAGCAGGCGGCGGTTCGTCCGTCGTTGCCTGTGCCTGCTGCTGCTCCGCCGCAAGTTTGTCTTATAGGGCCTCGGCTGCTGGCGATGAGGAGCCCTTGGGGGCTTTCAACTTCAGGCGTGCTGCAGCGGAACGGTATTAATGAATTGCTGCTGTATTTCTCTGCTTTGCAGTCGCTGCTGCTGCCAGCAAGATGGGGAGGCCTCATGCCCCTGGGAGCTGCGGATTGCCGTGCTGCTGCTGCTGCTCTTCCTGCTGCTGCTGCTGCTGCTGCAGCAGCAGAAGGCCTCGCGCGGGCTGCCGCTGCAACGGAAACGCCCATCTCATCGCCACCGGCACCGATACCGTGGCAGCAGCAGCAGCAGCTGCTGCTGCTGCTGCCGCGCCGCTTTCTGCAGCAGCTACCTACAGCAACCGATGGATCTTCTGGCCTCACGCAACTCAACGGGCTGTACAGACACCTCCGCAGCGCGATTCTGAAGCAGCAGCAGCAGCAGCAGCAGCAGCAGCAGCAATGCGCTTCTGTGTGGGGGGCAGACGACTCCCTCGTGGCGCAGGCAGCAGCAGCAGCAACTGCTGCTGCTGAGAGTGCTGCTGAGTTGGGGTTACAAGCGGAAGATGCTGCAGCGTGGCCTCCTGTTGCTGCTGCAATTGCTGCTGTGGAGGCTACAGCAGCAGCAGCCGCTGCTGCGGCCTCTGCGGCTGCTGCTGCCACTCTTTTTCCGTTTGCTGCTGCTGCAGTGGACGCTTGCGGGAGTTCTATCGGTGGAGCTGCTGCAGGGAGCCCATCAACAGCAGCAGCAGCAACAACAACAACAGCAACAGCAACGGTAGCAGCAACAGCAACAACAGCAGGTGGCCCTGTAGCAGCTACTGGAGACTCCAGCAGCAGCAGCTTCGAATCAAAGCGCCGTGAGGCCCTGAGACAGTTGGGGCGTCTGTTGGCTTCGCCACCTGTCATTGTTGTATTTGATATATATCCCAGAGGCAGCAGCAACAGCAGCAGTAGCAACAGCAGCAGCAGCACCAGCAGCAGCAGCAGCAGTAGCAGCGGAAGCAACGTGCGGCAAAGCTCATGCGCCCGCGGCGGCTTGCCGTCCTCTCCACCTATTATCAGCAGCATCAACACCAGCACCAGCAGCAGAAGCAGCAGCAGCAGCAGTTTAGCTGCAGAGTTTGGGGAGGCCTTTGGGTGGCAGATTCTAGAGTTCAGCATAACGGAAGTGGGGGCCCCCCCGCTGCAGCTGCTGATTGATTTCTGCTCTTCTCTTCGCTTCTGGTTGCAGCTGGATAGACACCTGAACTTAGCCGTTGTGAACATACACCCCAAGAGCGGCTGCGGTGCTTTGCTGTTGCTTGCATGCGCTGCAATGGCATGCGGCAGCAGCACGGGAGCAGCAGGCTGGGCTTCGCAGCAGCAGCTTCTTAAGATGCTGTGCAACGCGTCCTTAGCAGCTCAAGACTGTGCCTATCCTCCGGCAGTACTAAAGGCGAGCAGCAGCAGCAGCAGCAACGGCAGCAGCAACAGCAGCAACGGCAGCAGCAACAGCAGCAGCAGCAGCAGCATTCAGAGGGGAGGAGGGGTGCTGCACTGGAAGCCTGCTGACCGCTGGCCGCCTTCTTGCCGCCGCTACCTGTCCTACTTCGAGAGTCTGCTGCGTCAATCTTCTGTGGGTTTTCTCTCTTGCTGCTGCTGTTGCTTCTGCTGCTGCTGTTTCTGCTGCTGAGGCTGCTTTGGCGGCGGTGCGTTTCGGTGCTGCTGCCTGCGCAGCTGCTGCTGCAGCTCTTGCATTTGCTGCTGTGGTGTCCGCGACTCACCGTTAAGGGAAACTTCTTGCTGCTGCGGTTGCCGTTGCTACTGCTGTTGCTGCTTCTGATGGTGCTACTGCTGTTGCTGCTGCTGCTGCTGCTGTTGCTGCTGTTGCTGCAGGGCAGAAGCCTCGGGGAGGAGGCAGCAGGCGCCAGACAGACTGCTGCTGCGGGTGTGGAGGCGCGAGTTGTGCGTTTAAAGAATTTGTTGGTGGACCACTTTGCTGCTCCTGCTGCACTCATTGCTGTTGAGGTGTACGAACTCGCCACTTGCTGTTGCTGCTGCAGCGGCTGCTGCAGGAAAGACGATGCTGCCGAGCCCGTAGGCGTCCTCATGAGGCACCTCGCTAAGACGGCAGAAGCAGCAGCAACAGCAACAGGAGCAGCAGCAACTGCATCGCCCGACCGCTGTCCTCTCGCCCCCCCTAAACTTCAGCTCTGCAGCAGCAGCAGCAGCAGCAATGGCTTGGAATTGCTTCCTGCGGCTGCTGCACAGAAGCTTCACGCCCAGCAGCAGCAGCAGCAGCAGCACCTTCACCCTCAGCAGCAGCAACAGCACCCGCAGCAGCAGCAGCTGCTGCAGCAGCAGCAGCAGCAGGATGGAGGGAGCCGGTCGCAGCGGAAGGGCCTTGCGGGCTACTGGCTGAAGCAACGAGCAAGTGGACGGCCGCAGCAGTGAGGCTTGCAGCTCGAATTAGTTGATGAGTTATCCCTTCTGCTGCAGAACACTGGTTCTATCGTTGCTGCTGTTTCCGTTACTGTTGCTGCTGCTGCTGTTGCTGCTGCTGCTGCAGATCTGAGGGATCGAAGGGCGAAGAGGCGCAGAGCCACCCGTACCTGCAGGCGTTGCGGCAGCAGGCGCGGCTGGTGCTGGATTCTCCTGCAGCAGCAGCAGCAGCAGCAGAAACAGCAGCAGCAATTGAAAACGCATGCAGCCCAGATGATGTGCCCCTGCTGCTGGATCCTGGGGGCCCCCTTGGCCACCTTGGGGCTTGCTGCGAGGCTTATGTCTCCTTGCCTATCTCTGCTCCTTGTCTCAGCAGCAAAGGCGTTTGCTGCTGCTCTCCTGTGTCTGCACCTAACCTCCTGTCGTGGGACGGCTCTGCTGCAGCAGCAGCAGCAGGTGCTGGTGCTGCTACGGCGGATGGTGGCAGCGCCGTTGCAGCAGAATGGCCAGGAGATGCAGCGGAATCAGCAGAGGGTGCAGAAGGTGCAGGGACTGCTGAAGAGGCTCTTACGGCGCTGCAGCAGCGACAGCAGCAGCAGCACATGCAGCAGCGAAGGTTGCAGCAGCAGCATCAGCGCGAGCTACACTCCCATTTTGCCCTGCAAGCCTGTGCACAGGACTACCAGCTAATGGCTGCAGATACGCTTCCGGTGAGTACGAGTAAAGTTAATAACAGCAACAGCAGCAGCAGCAGCCTTATCTGCTGCAGCAGCTCGACTTGCTGCAGCACTTGCACTTGCAGCAGAAATAGCTGAGGCAGCTGCCATGTGAAGCCTTGTCCGTCAGACGGACTTAGTTTATGAGATAGTGTCTCTTCATCCGCAGCAGCAGCTGCTGAAGCAGCAGCTTGATTTGCTGCAGCGGTTCCTGCTGCAGAAGGAATTTTGCTAGCAGCAACAGCAGCAGTAGCAGAAGCAACAGCGCAACAGAAGCTGGCTGTGGCTGCCAGTGCACAGGCTGTCCTGCTGCTGCTGCTGCTGCCAGTTGAGCGAGCCGCTGAGTTTGCTTGTGCTACTTCAAGTTCCGCTGCTGTTGCGGTTGCTTCTGCTGCTGTTGCTGCTGCTGCTGTTCAGGACGGGTCTGCGTCAGCAGTATTTGATTTCGCGCACGACCGCAGCGGCAGCAGCAGGCAGCTGCTGCTGTCAGGTGATGTTTTAATTGTGCTGCGGCAGCTGGCTCCTAAACCTCGCCCTACCAAAGATACGGGAAGGCAGCAGAACACGCAGCAGCAGCAGCAACAGCAGCAGCAGCAACACATCTACGCCGTCTACGCCCTCCACACAGGTTTGTCTGCACGAGCTCCTGCTGCTGCAGCACCAGCTGCTGCTGCTGCTGCTGAGGGCTTATCTTTGCAGCGTTTGCCTGAAGGTCAGCTTGTACTGCGCTGAGACCAAACTGTTGCTGCTACTCTTGCCGCTGCTTCTGCTGCTGCTGCTGCTGCTGCTGCAGGGTTTCTGCCGGCGGATCAGTCTGTGGTGGAGCTGCAGGTGCAGGACATCGACTCGCCTGTCCCGCTGTCGCAGCGTCTGCGTTTGTCTTTGATTTTTGAACACGTGGATGATGTCTTTAGAACGAGCAGCAGCTGCTGCAGTCCCACCAACAGCAGCAGCTGCAGCAGCAGCAGCTATAGCGACGGCCTTAGCAGCAGCTCCTGCAGCAACACCAGCGGCGCAGCGAACAAGTGCAACCCACCCCCATCCTCAGTGGGCCGACCAGACGCTGCTGCTGCTGACCTGTCGCCTACTGCTGCTGCTGCTGCTGCTGCTGCTCCGGCGGAAGCAGGTTCCTCTGAGAGGCAGCCCGTCTCTAGCAGCAGCAACAAGGTTAGCAGCAGCGGCAGGTCTCTGGTTGGGGGGATTGTCTCCTCGCTGCTGCGGTGGCAACAGCCGAGAGAGCCCTCTGCGGAGCAGCACACGCGGCAGCACCAGCAGCATGAACAGCAGCAGCAGCAGCAGCAGCAGCACCTGCAACCACAGGAGTCGCAGCTTTCAGCCTCCCATCGCCTGAGCACTTCCAGCAGCGTCAGCCTTACAGAGGCCTTTGCCCCGCCCCCTCAAGTGCCTTCAGAGGCAGCAGCAGCAGCAGCAGCAGTAGGAACAGCAGCAGGAGCAGCAGCGGCAGCAACTCTGCCGCGGCATCTGCACATAACGAGGCGGCCTTCACCAAGCAGGAGAGACTTTGCTGCGCGACACTGTCTCCAATTAGATCCTGTAAGTTGCTGCTGCCTGTCTGCGTGCTGCAGCAGCTGCTCGTCTTGCTGCGGATACCTTCAGGCATTGGCATCCTGCTGCTGCTGCTATCGCAGCTTCGCTGCTGCTGCTGCTGCAGCAGTAACGGATGTGCAGTAGCTGTTGCTGCTGCTATTGGGACGGTGGTGCTGCTGCGGAGTTGCTTGCTGCAATTGCTGCTGTGCCGTCGAGAGAGCAAGACGTGCTTCTGCGGTTTGTGTTTGCTGTTGCTGTTTTGCTGCTGCAGCGTCTCCTACTGATGCTGGTGGAGGCTTCAGGCTGCAGCAGCGACAGCTGCACTGTGGCTTTGAAGCTGTGCAGCAACAACTTTTGTATGGCGCTAAGTCTGGTGTCCTATTACTTTGCTGCTTCCGGTTCTGCTGCTTCTGCTGCTCTTCATTCCACGCGCCTCCTGCAGCACGCCCTTCCTCCACCATGGCTGCAGCAGCAGCATCTCCTGCACCGGCAGGTCTCGCACTATCTGCAGTTGAGGCGGCAGGAGCAGCAGCAGCAGCAGCAGAAACAGGAAGAGCTGCTGCAACTAGACTTGCCTCCATCGCCCACTGTATATGCAGCAAACATGCCGCAGCAGCAGCAGCAGCAAATGCGAAGAGCTACCCCGGGTTTAGACTGGGAGGGATGGAGTCAAGTGGGCGCTGGTGGAGTTGTAGGCGGCTCTGCTGCCGCCTCAGCAGCAGCGGTGCCGCAACTGCAGCAGCAATGGATGCTGCAGCAGCAGCAGTCTCTGCTGCAGCAGCGCCACCCATTCACCCCCAGTGGGCCCCATCGGATCGCCCCTGTGCCCCTGAGGCCGGGGCAGAGCCGCAGGCCCCATCCTGCTGTTGCTGCTGCTGCTGCCCAGCAGCAGCAACAACAGCAGCAGCAGCAGCAGCAGATCCAGCGTTTCAGCACTGCGGCTTCGCTTAACAATGGATCTCTGCATGCAGCTATTGTCTCTAGAAGCAGCAGCTTCGGCGGGGTCTCCTCTTTCGGGAGTGCAGCGTACATGCCTGTCGCACCACCACCTGCTGCTGCTGCTGCTGCTGAGGGCGCTGTGGCTGGGTTGTCCCCGTGGGAACCTCAAACGCTCCAGGTAGAGCAGCAGCAGCAGCAACAAAAACAACAACAGCAGCAGCTACCGGAGGAGCAGCAGCAGCAGCAGCAACGTCAGTCGGATATACTTGTTTCATTTGCCTCTGTAGAAGCCAAAGGACCAGCAGCAACAGCAGCAGCAGCACCTGCTGCAGCAACACCTGCTGCAGGCATCAATCTATATGCAGCTGGTGTGGTGGTAGATGCGGGCCCTGCAGCGAACAGGGCAGACGATTCAGGTTTCCCCGCTGCTGCTGCTGCTGCGGCTGCTGCGGGTAGTTTGGCTCTCTTGCCGCATGCGCCGTCTCGTGAAGCCGCAGCAGCAGCAGTGGGAGCTGCTGCTGCTGCTGCTACGCCTGAAGACAGGACAGTTCCTGCAGATGCTGCTGCTGCTGTGGGCCGCCCTAAGGAGGCAACGATGCTTGCGGAGGGCGACTTAGCTGCACGTGCTGCTGCTGCGACACCTCTTGTTGCAGCCCCTGCTGCTGCTGCTCAAGCTGCGGCAGACTCTGCTGTTGCAGCTCCTGCTGCTGTATCTGGAACAGCTTATGCAACCCCCGCCTCTGCAGCTTCTGCGCTGCCTCCCTTGCCTTGTCCCGCTCCAGCTGCAGAACGGCAGCAGCAGCAACAACAACAACAGCAGCAGCAACAGGAGGGCGATGAGGGAAGGACCGAAGATGTTGGAGGCGCAGCAAAGCCAGCAGCAGCAGCAGACACTGCAGGGACAGCAATTGCCGCAGCAGCAATAGCAACAGCAGCAGCAACAGCAACAGCAGCAGCAGCAGGACCGGCAACAGGGCAGGTCCTTGCTGTACGGCTCCCCGACGGTCGCCTCCTTCATGTGGCTCTTCCTCCTGATGCTGCTGTTACTTCTGGAGCATTCGTGCCTGCTGCTGCTGCAGCAGTGCTGCAGGCTGAAGGTGCAGCAGCAACAACAGAAACAGCAACAGCAACAGCAGCAGCGATCCCCGCATCAACGGTCTTACCGGCAACTCTCGCTGCTGCTCCGCCCCAAGGCCCCGCTGCTGCTGCTGCGCCGCACAAGGCCAAGCCGCCGGGACCCCCCCCAAAAGGCCGCCTGCCCCCTCCTAAGGGGAATCCTAAACCAGCAGCAGCAGAAGCAGCAGCAGCAGCAACAGCAACTTCAGGAAAAGCGACGCCTCCTAGAACAAAGGGCAAGGCGCCGGGGCCGCCACCTGCAGGTCGACCTCCCACGGCAGCGAAAGGCAAAGCGCCAGCAGCAGCAGCAGCAGCAGCAACTGCAACAGCAGCAGCATCGGTTAGCAAGGCCAAGGCCCCGGGCCCGCCTCCGCCTGTGCCTAAAGCAAAGGCTGTGGGGCCCCCACCGAAGGGGCCTCCCGCAGGACGTCGCCCTCCGCCTCCTAAAGCAGCAGCAGCAGCAGCAACGGCGGCATCCGAAACAGCAGCTGCAGCAGCAACAGCAGCAGTACCAGGGGAGAAGGATGCTGCGCCGGAACCAGCGCTGCCGTTGGGCCGCAAGATACACTGGAAGGCTCTAACGGGGGATAAAATTCACGTAAGCTCCTTGTTGCACTAGCTGCTGCTGCTCGTGTTGCTGCAGCGTGCAGCCGCACTTGCTGCTGTAGCTGCTGCTGCTAATCTTTTTTATGAGTATTGAGGTTATGTGAGAGCAGCAGCAGCAGGGCTGGTGGCGTTTGTCGCTGTTGCGCTGCTGCGGTAGGGCTCGCTGGTAGAGGTTTCTGGCTGCAGGAAGCAGCAGCAGCAGTTCCAGTAGCAGCAGCAGCAGTGCACTATCAACAGTGGCAGTAGCAGCAACACCAGTAGTAGCAGTAGCAGCAGCAGTAGAAGAATCAGCAACAGGAACAGCAGCAGCAACAGCAGCATCTGCAGTAGTAGCAGCAGTAGCTACAGTAGAAGCATCAGCAACAGGAGCAGCAGCAGTAGTAGTAGCAGCAGCAGCAGCAGGTCCTTTACTTTGTGTTGCTGCGGGTTTGTACAGGGTACAGTGTTTAGTGAGATGCCTGCTGTGGGGCCCCTGGGGCCCTCTGCCTTAGTGGACGGCGCAGCGCTAAGCAGGCTCTTCTCCCGCACGCAGCCAGCAGCAGCAGCAGCGGCAGCAGCAGCAAAACGCCCCAGCAAGAAACCCCAAGTGCAGCAAACCAAATTCATCTCAAGTAAACGCGCACAAAACGTCGCCATCGTCCTTGCAAGACTTTCTATATCCACCGAGGTACCACTGCTGCTGGTGCTGCTGCTGCTGCTCTAGCTGCTGCTGCTGCTGCTGCTGCTGCTGTTGCTCTATCTGCCACTGCTGCTGCTGCTTCTCTCCTGCCCGAATGTTGCAGACGTCGTGTGCAGGTGTGTGCTGCTACTGTCATCCGTTCTCCATGTGGCTCAATAGACCCAGGTACCTGTTGCTGTTGCTGTTGCTGCTGCTGCTGCTGCTGCTGCTGGTTGCAGGAAGCAGCACAACGGCTACAGCGCCTTGACAGCAGCGGGCTGTCTCTTGAGTTGCTGGAGAGGATTGAGGAGGTCTGTCCTTTGCCTGAGGAGATCGAGTGTTTTCAACCCTTCCTACAAAAGCAGCAACAGCAGCAGCAGCAGCAGCAGCAGCAGGGGGCAGGAGAGGCCCCTGTACCTCCGTTGAGGGACGTAGAGGCGGCGATGCTGCCTCTTGCTCGTCTTGCTGCTGCTTCATCTCGCGTGCGGATACTCCGCTTTGATTTGCTGGCCCCAAAGACAATTAAAGAAGTGGAAGATGCAATCAACTTAGTAGACAGGGCAGCAGAACAGGTACGCTCCTGCTGCTGCAGCTGCTGCAGCAGCAGGGGCAGCAGCTGCTGCTGTTGCTGTTGCTGTAGCTGCTGCTGCAGCTGCTGTTGGTGCTGCCGGTGCTGATGCTGCTGCTGTTGCAGTTGATGCTGCTGCTGATGATGCTCTTGCTGCTGATGCATCTGCTGCTGCCGATGGTGATTCTGCCGTTGTTGCTGATGCTCGTACTGATGATGCTGATGATGACGCTGCTGCTGCTGCTGCGGTGTTGCTGCTGTTTGTCCCTGATGGCGCTGTTGTTTCTTGTGAAGTTGGTGTAGCTGCTGCTGCTATTGTTGTTGCTCTAGTTGGTGCCGCTGCTGCTGCTTCTGCTGCTGGGGGCTTTCTGCTAGTTTATGCATGCGGTGTTGCTGCTGTTGTGCTGCTGCGCATGCAGGCGCGCAGTAGCCGCAAGTTTCGCGTGCTGCTGCAAGCGGTGCTGCAGTGGGGGAACTACGTAAACCACGGTGTCCGTTTGGCTGCAGCAGCAGAGGAGACGCAGGAGTCTCAGGGTGCAGCAGCAGCAGCAGCGGGAGCAGGAGCAGCAGCAGCAGCAACAGCAGCAGCAAGTGCTGCTTCTGTTGAGTGTCTCCCCACAAGGGGATTCGCCCTAACGTCTCTCTTAAAGCTTATGGAATTTAGGAGTACAGTTGATAGCCGCCTCAGCTCCCTACACTACATCCTTGTTAATCTGGTGAGGGTTTGCTGCTGCTGTTACTGCTGCTGCTGGTACTGCTGCGGTGCTGCTCCCTGCAGCAGCTGCTGCAGTCTTCCAGGGTTTAAACGAAGGGTGGATAGTTTTGCTGCTGAGCTTCAGCAGATTCGGCGGGGTTCTCTTTGTATCTCTCCAGGCCGCTTGCTGCCGCCTTCCTTACGTTGCTGCTGCTGTTGCTGCTGCTGCTTGCAGATGGCTTCCTTACCAGACTTGCAGTTAGAGCGGCTGCCTGAAGAGATGCCATTGGTGGAGGAGGCGGCGCGGCTGACGGACGAGGCGTTGGATGCTGCTGCTGCGCTGCTGCAGCGGGAGACGCATTTTTTGCTGCAGCAGATTCAGCAGCAGACAAGCGCTCAGGGGGGCCCCTGGGGGCCCCCAGAGCTAGAACGCCTCAGGCGCCTCCATGGAGAGACGGTGCTGGGATTCGAACGCGTGCGACAGCGATATGCAGCAAGCAAGGAGCGGGTGATGGAGTTGGCGCGTTTCTATGGAGAGGAGCCGCAGCGGCTGAGTGCTGCTGCTGCTGCTGCTGTTGCTGCTGCAGCAGGAGAGGGCTGGGGAGGCCTCATGCAGGCCTCCCCCTTCTCCACTTTGGCTGCTATTCTCGTTACCTTTAAACAAACACTCAAAGATATTCAGCAGCACCCCAAGCGATACGCAGTGCTGCTCGCCACGAGCAGCAGCAGCAGCAGCAGCAGCAAGGAGGGCAGCAGCAAGAAGACGGGATCCGACTCCGGGGAGAAGGACGCGGCTGCCAGTGTTGCTGCATCAGATAAGGATGGGGGCGGGTCTACTGCTGCTGCAGACGGCACGGATGCTTCAAAACGCACAGCAGCAACAGCAGCAGCAGAAACAGCACGGCCAGCCTCTGTTGAGTCTGAGCTGCAGAGCCAATTGATGCGCAAGTGCAGCGTTCCAAACCCAACTCCTGCTGCTGCTTCTGCTGCTGCTGCTGGGTCTCCGAAGACAGAGAACAGCCAACATATCTCCGCGCTGTCTCCTCATCAAGAGCGTCTGCAACTGCGTGAGTTGCTGCACTAAATTCTAGGACAAGAGCTACCCAGTTGTTGCTGCTGCTGCTGCTGCTTAGAAGAGTTGCTGAGGCCTATGGAGTCCCTTCTTCCTCCGATGATTATTTTCTGCTATTGCTGCGGTTGTTGCTGTTGTTGTTGCTGTTGCTGTTTCAGCGAGGCGCAGCTCGAGCTGCTTTGCTCTTGCTTCCTCCCTCCAGCGGCGGCCTGTCTCGCAGCAGCAGCCGAAACAGCAGCAGAAGCAGCAGGAGCAGCAGCAAACCCAGCCTCCAGTGGCAGCAGAACAGCTGGGGCACAGTGTTTGTCAGCAACCCCACCAACACACCGTTGCTGTAGCTGTGCGTCTGCCTGCGGGGGCCCCCCTGAAGGAGAGTGCTGCTGCAGAGAAAGGTATCGAGTGCTTCCGGGGCCCCGCTGCTGGTGCTACTACTACTGCTGCTGCTGCTGCTGCTGGTAATCGGGCCTCGTTGCATGCTCTTATTGATGAACCCTCCTTTGCTGCTTTGGATGTAGCGGCCTCTATCAATAAGGCGCTTTTTATTCAAGATATCTGCGCCGAGCAAACACAAACAGAAACTGCAGCAGCAGCAGCAGCAGCAGCAACTGCAGCAGCAACAACTGCAGCAGCAACGTCTGCAGCAGCAGCAACTGCAACAGCAACAACTGTGCCGGAAGCTGCTGCGGCGGACGGCCAACAGCAAGACGAGGCGGCACCGTGTTCTGCTGATGCTGCTACAGAGTCTACCTCGCACCAGCAGCAGCAGCAAGAACAGCAGCAGCAGCAGCATTCAGCGCCCCCGTCGGTTAGAGGTCCGTTTTTTCCTCCTCGAGTAGTGCCGAGGCACTGGAAGCAGCAGCAGCAGCAGCAGCAACAGCAGCAGCAGCAGCAGGGAATCATTCCGCGCAGCAAGGTCCCGCTGGTGCTGAGGCCGCGGCCGCCGCCTCCTGCGTTTGTGCGTGGAGAGCAGCGTGTCTTAGGGCCCTTTAGGGGCCCAAAAGCACAGCAGCAGCAACAGCAGCAACAGCAGCGGCAGCAGCAGCAGCAGCAACAGGAAGAGCAACAGGAACAGCAACAGCAGCAGCAGCAGCAGCAGCAACAGCAGCAGCAACAGCAGTAGCATTAGCAACCTCCGGGAGTCGAACAGTAGCCCCGTAGCGGAGGCAGCTTGTAACGAACTGCCTCAAAGGCGGAAGAATTTTTGTCTCAATTAAACAGACAGTGTACAGACAGCTACGAAACCCTAAACCCTAAACCCTAGTCTCTTATCCGTTGAAGGGTTTAAGCAGAGCACACGCTGTAGAACAGGAAGGGCGAAGGCTAGCAGGTGGAAATGCTGCTGCGGGCTGCTACTAGCTGCTGCAGCTAGCTGCTGCAGCTAGCTGCAGTTGGCTTCAGCTAGATGCGGCATTATTTGTTTGCGTTTGATTTAGTTGAGGTGTGGTTCTGAGTAGAGAGACGTACAGTATGAGTACTCTATACTCTATCTTCTCTTTTATTTCTTCTTCGTAGTCTTTGTTATTATTATTATTACTATTAATATTAATATTATTATTATTACTACTACTACTATTATTAAATGCTGCACTTAAAACTGCATGCAAGAGGCTGCTTCTCTGGAGGTTTCATTCAGACACATCTCTGCTGCTGCAGTTGCCTCAATGCATGCAGCATTTGATGGCGCAGCAAACTGTAAACTCTAGAGCCCCACAAACAGCAGCTGCAGCAGCAGTTGCAGCAGCAACAGCAGCTGCAGCAGCCGCTGCTGCTAAGGGAAAGATGCTCCCCCATGTGCTGCAGCTGCGCAGCAAGAGCAGCCATGTGTGCTGTCTCTTCTAATACAGCGAATAAGTAGACAGTCATAAGAGAAAAACCGCTGAAAACCCTAAACCCTAAGCTCTAAGTCTTATGAAATTGAGCGCGCGTAGTTGCTTCAGGGATGAGCATGCGTTGCAAGTGCAGCAACATAAAAATATACGCCTTTATAAATATAAAATATATATCTCTATGTGTATATGACATATATATATATATATATATATATAATTATGTAATTTAGACGGGCAGTAACACATTTTTATAGGCGAAACAGATAGAAAAAGACTTAGTTTATTTTATTTGTGTATGAATCTGCAGACATCTTTTACTATTTATCTTTTATTTAGTTTTTATTTTTATTATATTGTAGAAAAAACTACGTGAGGCGGTCGATGGAGGGTTTATTCGTTTGATTGGCTGAGGAAGTCGTACACATATTATATATATAGTATATATATACATATATTATATATACACATATATGCGTATATATATATGTATGTATATATACATGTATATATGCAGTGTACATTACATATATCTATGTAAGGCTGCAAAACCACTAGAAAACTCTTTCTTCTTCTGAATTATCGCTTTATTACGTTGATTAAAATGATATTTCATTTAAAAATTATTTTATTTCTTTTTTTAAATGTCTATAAAGGACGCAATAAAGAGAAGCGCAGCAGCCGACCAGCGGCCTCCTCCGGCTGTCCGCTCCCTAAGGTTCTTCCTGCTTGAGTTTGATGTCTGCTGTATTTGTTTGATTGTTTTACTGGGTTTAAAATGTATAAAAAAAGATTAGATAAATAAAATAAATTTAAAAATTAAGAAAAACTAACAGACATTACTTAAGAAATGATGCCTTCCTTCCTTAGATACCCCAGGGGGCGGCCCGGCTGCTGTTGCTGTTGAATATTTATTTCTTGTCTGCTCCTGTGTAGCTTCTTTTTATCTTTATTTCTTTAAATATATCTTTGTTTTTTCTTTAATTGTTTTAAATATATCTTTGTTTTTCAAAGGATAATCAGCGTCTGCACAGAAGACTCCCCCTCCCTCTCTTCCTCTCCCTGGGGCCGTCTCGACGCAACATGTCCAGGCTGAGCAGTAAACCCTAAACCCTAAACCCTAAACCCTAAACCCTAAACCCTAAACCATAGACCCTTAATCCATAGGCTCGAAGTGGCGCCGTCGCCTCTTAGGCGCGCGACCCAGCAACGGCCTCTTCTATGTCTCCTTAAGGCAAAGCAATGTTAAACCCTAAACCCTAAGCCCTTCCCCTCATACTAGGGTTCCTTCTCCCCTCAAAAAGAAACAAGGATCCTAAACCCTAAACCCTAAACCCTAAAAATGTGTTTCTTTTGCCGGCGACCGATGTGCTCGAGCCCCCATTAATTCCTTGTCAACGCTTTTGCGGGACCACCATATTTAGGGTTTAGGGTTTAGGGTTTAGCGTTTACTTGGGGTGGTTTTGCTGCAGAGAGGCCCGCCGCCCTGGTGGTGCTGCATGGCTGTCTGCTGGCCCTTCTTTGTGTAGCAGCAGAGCCTGCAGGTGAGGCTAGCAGGCAGAAAGGAGACAGTTGTCTCCTTACTGCAGCACAACTCTAATGCTAAAGGGCTTGTGTTATTATTTCCCTCTTTGTGTGTGCTGCTGGCTTTGGTTTGCTTTTTATAATGAGATTAAGCGTCTCTTGTTTGTCTCTTTTGCTGTCTCTTTTGCTTTGCTGCATCTGCTGCACTTTGCTGCTCTCTTCTTCTCTAAGGCAACGACCAACAAGAATCTGCTGCTGCAGCAACAGCTGCATCAGGTAGGATATTTCCTTATTGTCTCTTTGCTGTTATTAAGGAGACAGAAGACGCTGTCGTTGCTGCGGTGTCTCTGTTTCTTTTATTTTAATACTGCTGCATCTCTTTGTCTCCTTTTTATTTACTCTCAGCGCGTACTGTACAAGTTCAATATGTTACCAATAATGCAGCAGATACAAAAGCTGTCTCCTCTGCGCACTCCCAAGGTGCGTGTTTTCTGTCTCTTATGTCTCCTTCAGGGTTTAGGGTTTAGGGTTTAGGGTTTCCATTGGTTTTTTGCCCTGCCGTTTAGGGTCCAGGGTGTAGGGTCTAGGGTTTAGGGTTTAGGGTTTCTCTTGTTGTGGCGCCGTAGGATGTAGGGTTTAGAGTTTATGGTTTAGGGGTGGTTTTGTTTCGATGTCCTAGGGTCTAGGGTTTAGGGTTTAGGGTTTCATTATTGTTCTGATGCCTTATGGTTTAGGGAGTTTAGGGTTTCAGATCATGCCCGTCTGTGCTTCGTAGCGCTTAAAATTTAGGGTTTAGGGTTTAGGGTTTGGGGTTTGCGGCTCAGATCTCCAGCTGCTGAGTCTAGTAGAGGCGGAGACAGCACAAACCCACATCTCTGCTGTACAAGACCCAGCGAGATACTGCAGCGATGTAGGGGCCTCCATGACGCACTTCTGTCAAACCTTAAAAGAATTTGCTGCTGCTGTACTCGTAACGGAGCAGCTAGGTAAGCAGCGCACTTCTTGCTGCTGTTGCTGATGCTGCTGGTCCTGGTCCTGCTGCTGCTGCTGCTGCTACTGCTGGTCCTGCTGCCGCTGCTGCTGGCCCTGCTGCTGCTGGTCCTGCTGCTGTTGCTGCTGACACGGTGTCTTGATGGATCTGGTAGAGGTGGCTGTGAGGAGGTGAAGGGAAAAGGAGACAAAAAAGGAGACAGCAGCACGATGCGCATGCGTGGTTTGCTGCTGCTGCTGAGCAGACGGTGTGGACTGCGCATACAAGACTCTGCAAGAGTTAAGGGAAGAAGCAAGACAGCAGAAAATAGAGAGAAAGGCAAGAAAGAAACAAGCAGCAGCAGAAGCAAAAGCAGCAAAGGCAGCAAAAGCAAGAGCAAGAAGAATAGCCAAAGGTCAGATGCCGTGCTGCACTACCTGCTGCTGCTACTGCTGCTGCTGCTCTAGCTGCTCTGGCTGCTGCTGCAGCAAAGCAGCATGGCTTTAGCCTGGGTTGCTGCCGCAGTAGCTGTTGCTGCTCCTCTTGCAGCATGGCCTTTGTTGCGGTTTCTGCTGCAGCAGCAAGAAAGAGCAACAGCAGCTTGTGTAGTATGTTTATTTGGGGTGTACAGACAACGTACGTTTTTCATTTTTGTTTGTACTGCAGGTATTCTTGCTGCTGGAGCAGCACAGAATGCAGAATCACATTCATTAAAGAAGACGTCGCTGCGGCCGCCAGCAGCAGCAGCAGCAGCAGCAACAGCAGCAACAACAGTGACTAGTTTACTGCAGCTGCCTTCATTAAGCGACCAAGCAGCACATCAAGAAGAACTTGCCAAGGCCTATGCTAGGCAGGTGCAGACAGCGCGGCAGAACTCCAAAGCAAACGGTTCGTTAAACCCTAAACCCTAAACCCTAAATGAGGGTTTAGGATTCTACAGCCCCCAAACCCTTGCAGCTCTGCCTCTTACCCGCTTTAAAACCCGTATACCTTCACTACAAAAGCAAAAATAAATTTTTGCTTCTCTCTTCATCCTGCTCTCAGCCCGTTGCTTTGTAGTCCTTACCTAAACCCTAAACCCTAAACCCTAAACGCCTTCAAGCGCACAAAGAGAAAGGCTTTTAACTTTCACATACAAATAGGGAAGAACTGAAGGAAGGGTTCTGCAGGATAGAAAACCCTAAACCCTAAACCCTAGGCACTGGCTCGGGTGTATCTATGCGCTGCAGAGGGAGGGCCAGGGCTCACCACAGCCACTATGAAGATATTTGATGGTAAGCCTCGCATACAGTGGCTATAGGAGGTTTACTTTAGGCTCGAGAGTGCTGCTTGTTTATAATCGACGCGTTTTGTTTTTATTTGTTTGTTGCTGCTGCAGCCGCTCTGTACATCCAGGCGGGAAGTAAGGCGGAACCTGCATCAGCAACTGCAGCTGCAGCAGCAGCAGCAGCAGCAACAACAACACTCAACAGCAGCAGCTGTTGCTCCAGTATTCGACAGCAGCGGCTGCCCCTGAAACAGCCATCAACAGCAGCAACTGCAGCAGCCCTCAACAGCACTTGCAACTGCAGCAACACCTATCAACAGCAGTAGCAGCTGCAGCACCCAGCAGCAGCTGCTGCACTGCTCACTTGCTGCTGCTGCTGCATCTCTTTTCTGCTTTCAAGCCCTTTGGGTTTGTTGTTGCTACCAATGCAAGTGCTGTATGTTGCTGCTTGTGTTCACCTCTGCTGCTGGTGGTGTTGCTGCTAATTGTTGCTGATGCTGTTGTTGCTGCTGCTGCTGCTGATGGTGTTGTTGATGCTCAGTTCTGCTGCTATGCGGAATGGCAAAGGAGTTGCTGGCGGGCATAATTGCTGCTGCTTCTACTGCACCTGAAGGTTCAACTTTTGAGCTAGATTTTGCTGCGGTTGAGGGTTCTCTTCGTTCTGTATTGATACAAGGAAGCTCTTTTGCGCAGCCTTTAGCTGTCTTTTGCGTAGCAATTATTGAAGAAGCTTTAAGTGGAATAAATGCAAAAAATAAAACAGCAGCAGATGCACAGACAGAAGCTTGCCTCTCCCTTAATGACCTTCAAACCGTTGCAACTGCAGCAGCAAAGCAAAAAGCTGAACTTACTGCAGCACAACTGCAAACACCAGCAGCAACAATCAATCAACAAGTACGAAGTAATGTAGCGGGAACTGCTACAGCAGGAATCACAGAACAAATGGCTCAGCAAGCCGTGGACCTGGTACTCTCCATCATTGATAGTAAGCTCATGCTGCTCCTGCTGTTGCTGCTTCTGCTGCTGCTGCTGCTTCGGCTGCTTCTGCTGCTTCTGTTATTGCTGTTGCACCCAGTTGCGGGTGATGCTGCATCCAGTTGTTGCTGGCGCTGCATCCAGCTGCTGTTGCTGCACCCAGTTGCTGTTGTTGCATCCAGCTGCTGTTGCTGCACCCACTAGCTACTAGTGCGCTCCGACCTGCTGCTTTTGCTGCACCCAGTTGCTGCTGTTGCTTCTGGGCTGACTCTTCTCGTCTCCTCCGCTTTAGTGGCAGTGTCTCCTGAAAAGCTTCTCTTCCTCTTTGCGTGTAGTGGACACCTGCTGCGGAGCAGCAGCAGCAACAGCAGCAGCAGCAACAACAGCAGCAATAGCAGCAGCATGTTGAGTTCTTTCTGTTGCATGCATGCGTTGTGTGCGGCTGCTACCAGGCCCTGATAGTGTAACAGGTAAGGAGACACCTGAATAGAAGCTAAAGGAATGGCTACGAGGGAGGGGAGAGCAGCAGGAGATGAAGCATTTGTCTCCTTTCTTTTTCTGTAAATGTTTGTGGTGTATGTTGAGTTATATTGGTGTCTCCATTTCTTTTTCTGTCTATTTGCAGTCGTCCGTTATACTAAAACTTCTCAGAGCTCAACCCCTACAGCAGGAGGTGGGGTTAAGCTGGTGGTTGGGAGCCAAGAGAATCCAATAGAAATACCCTCAACACCTCAGGTTGATCTAAGTACCGAGACGCCTGTAGTAGTGCCGCCGATGCCTTCTGTCTTGCTCCCTGGAGGGGCTCCTGACGTCAGCATTGCCAAAGGCGGAGGAGCAGCAGGAGGTGCAGGAGGAGCAGCAGGAGGTGCAGGAGGAGCAGCAGGAGGTGCAGGAGGAGCAGCACCAGGTGGAGGCGGGGGTTTTAGTGCAACAATCTCTTCTCATGCCCCTGGGTCTTCACCGATGGGCATGGGTGTTTCATCAGTATCAATTCACCCTCATTCACACCCTAGCGGCGGCGGCAGCAGTAGCAGCAGCGGCAGCATGCAGGGTTTGCCGGGGCAGCCCACATCCGTGCATATTATGCGTTTCGGTGATGGCCCAGGGGCCCAGGGGGGCCCCCATGGCGCCTCTGGGGGGCCCGTCATTACCTCAAGTGTGCGTGTTACCGATCACTACGGACAGGGGGGCCCCACTGGTGTCCCCCACTCCCGCGGCGTTCAAGTGCTGCACGTAGACTCTGAGGGGACCCCCGAGGGTGCAGCAGCGGGGGGCCCTCCACAAGGCCAAGGCCAGATGTATGGAGCAGGAGCAATGGGACACCCACCAATGGGGTCTGCGCCAACAGCAGTTTATCGAGTGCGATTCGGAGACAACTCGGGGGGACAGCAGCAACAGCAGCAGCAGCAGCAGCAGCAGCCTACTCATCCTGGAGCTACACATATCTCCTTTGGGGTAGAGGGCCCCCAGGGGCCCCCAGGGACAGGTGGCGGCTACTGGCGCGTGCAAGGAGGCGGAGACGGTGGTGGCGCAGCAGCAGGTGCACCAGGTTTTGGCTCTCTACAACAGAGGATAGGGACGCCAGACCCTAATCAGCTCTTCGTTCCTGGCTTCAATGCCACTTCTGTCACCCTCAGCGGTCTCCCCTTCTATGCCACTATGGGCCAAGTCCCCCAATTCGGTGCCCGCTTCCATGGAATCCAGCCGGTACACCGACGAGACCACCTAAACCCTAAACCCTAGACCCTAAGCCCTATAGCTAGCGAAATACAGAGAGGAAATGCTGGTTCACAGGGAATAACTAGCTGAGAAGGTATAGCTAGCTGCAAAAGGATAGTGCCTAGACATGCTTTGGTGGCTGTTGAGGTTGAGCTGAGAAGGTGTAGCTAGCTGAGCCGTTGTAGCTAGCTGAAAAGGTTTGGCTAGCAGGGCCGTTGTAGCTAGCGGAGCTGTTGTAACTAGCTGTGTGCGTGTGGCTAGCTGCGTCGTTATAGCTAGCTTCCCGGGTATAGCTAGCTAGAAATGCTCATCTAGCTGAGTGTGTCTATGTCGTAGCTAGCTACTGCGCCATTGTAGCTAGCTGCTGCTCCAGTGTAGCTAGCTGCTGCTCCTCCCGAGCTAGCTATATCGACCCTTTTATCTAGCAAATGTGTCTGCATCTTTTGGTAAGTTATTCCTTTTAAAAAAGTTTTGTGTTTTCTTCAGGACTTCATTCTTGGCAATGCAGGCACGCGTAGCGATGTCTGCGTAACAGAAGCAATGCTCGTTCCGTCAAGCAATTGGGGCCCCCGTCAGCGGTGGATGGTGGATGCCTTTGGGGGCCTCCCCCATTCACTTGGGGCTTATGCAGCTGCTGCTGTGGAGCGCTGGGCATTAAAAAGGGCTCATGAGGCAACCGATCATGTTTTCGTTCTTTTCACAGACAGAAATACTATCAAGACACATGTGGATAACTTGTGTAAGCTGCAACACCCACTGCTGCTGCTGCTCCGGCTACTGCTGTTGCTGTTGCTGCTGCTCTTGTTGCTGCTGCTAAGGCCACAAAGACACTGAGGCAACTTAGCGGAGGCTGCACACCGCTGCAGCACTGCAGCAGCAGCTGCTGCTGTAGCAGTGCAGCAGCAACAGCTGCCGCATGGGCTATGCATTAAGTTGTTTATTGCGTGCCTCCCCGTTTGTCTGTTTATTTGCTGTTGTGCTGCTGCAGTGAAGAAATACCAGATGCAGCTGCAAGAAACAACATCTCCTGCTCCTTCTTTTAATTCTCTTACCAGCAGCCCCTGCAGATCGATTGCGGATGAAGCACGAAGACTTTTTTTTGATCTCTTTTCTACCAGCCGCCTCTTCGGCTTAGTTAGCAGCAACCCCGCAGCAAATGCGCGACTAAGGCTACGCGCGCACCAGCTACAGAACCAGGGTCAGTTCTCACCCTTAGGGTTTAGGGTTTAGGGTTTATGCGGCAACGGTTCAGGGTCTACTGTTTAGGGTTTAGGGTTTAGGGTTCAGGATATACGGTTTAGGGACTAGGGTTTAGGGTTTAGGCTCTAGGGTTTAGTGCCGCGGGTTGGAGGAGAAGGGTCTAGGGCCTAGTGTTTAACGTTTAGGGTTTAGGGTTTAGGGTTTAGGGTTTGTGTGATTGCGTCTCAGGTATTACTCCTGTTATGCCTGCTGCTGTGGACGTTGCGTTAAGCGAAGAACTCCGGAAGATACAGAATAGCATTCATTCGGGTAAGACTTTGATTTTTTTGTTTGTTTTCTTGCTTCTGTTGCTGGGCTTATGGGGATAGAGAGGAAAAGAGAGAGTTGTGCGTGTTGTTTGCATGCAGGACAGAGGAAAGGCAAGCGAAGAGACACCCGAAGCTGCCTATACACCCCAATACCTTGTTGCTGCACTTGGGACATGCCTCCTCACCCCACAACCGCCGTTCCTGTTGTGTTGCTGCTGCTGCTACTTCGGATACATTTTGCGCTACTGCTGCTCACTCTAATGGTGCTGCTGCTTCTGATCCTGCTGCTTCTGATGCCTCTGCTGCTGCTGCTGCTGCAGGTGCCTACGGGTTCCTTGATGCTTGCGGCAAGGAGTGTTACAGGCAGACAAACAGTCGAAGAGGAGATGGTGAGGGTTTATTAGTCTTTCTTCATTATGATTGTTCTGTCTGTACTTTCTAAAGAAACAAGCATTATTTAAAAATAAGGGTTTCTTCTCTTTTCTTCTTTTCTTGTACAGTGTTGGCGAGCTCTGTCTTCTCCCTCGACACTACCTTGATGAAGCTTAACAGCGCTGCATTCCACGCTTTGACCCTCAGCATCGGCTTCTTTGGGGGCCTCGCCTCATCTGTCCCCTCCGTATGTCTAGGGTTTAGGGTTTAGGGTTTAGGGTTTAGGGTTTGGGGTTTTGGGTCTGCTGGGTGCTGAGCTGGGTCTCGCACGGCATCTCCAGTACAAGGTTTCTACTGTTGCAGGCTGCTGCTCTAAGGCTTAGTTAGGTTTAAGGTTTAGGGTTTACGGTGTAGGGTTAGTTAGGGTTTGGTATTTGTTGGAGTTGTGTTACGTCGCCTGCAGCCTCTTCTAGGAGCATGTTTTTATATCTAATTGCGCTGTACGGTTGAGGGTTTAGGGTTTAGGGTTTGTTGCTTGTTGTTTTGTGCGTATGCTCAGCTACCTGAGACGGAGCAGGCAGTGCTGCAAGCAGCACAAGAAAGAATGCTGTCTTTTTGGAGTAGTGGGAGCGATGGGAGCCGAAAGAAAAGAAAGAATAAGAAGGAAGCAAAAGCAGCAGCAGCAGCAGCAATAGACGGAAGTCTTCTTAGAGCTATTGAAGATTATACATCGGGCTTAGAGCGTCTTGTAACTGTGATGATGCACTCCGCCCATGCGCAACATTTATATAATCTTGCTGCACATACATGGATACAAATAAGAAGCATTTATAATGCAGCTGAGGGCTTTAAACCCCAAAAAAACCCGACAGCAAACCCTAGAAGCAAACAACTTGCTGCTGTCTTCAGCAAACTATGGTTCGATATGGATGCTACAGCACTGCAGCTGCAGCAGCAGCAGCAGCAAGTTGGATCCTCACCATCCTTACTTAAACCTTTTGGCGCTGTCCTTGCATCTATTGCTCTGCAACTCGGTAGGTAGTACAGGAGAAAAGAGACAGAAGAGGAAGCATTTATATTTACTTGTTTGTTTGTTTTGTTTGCTTGTTTGTTCGTTTATTTGTTTGTTTGTTCGTTTGTTTGTTTTGTTTGCTCGTTTGTTCGTTTCTGTGAGTTTGCTTTTGTGCATTTGTTTGTGTTTATTTGTGCATTTGTTTGTTTGCAAGTGCTCGTTACGCTTTATTCTTTTATCTTTTTGTTTGCATTTAGTTGTTTGTCTCTGTTTATTTTTCATGTATTTGTTTGCTTGCATTTATTTATTATTCCCAGAAACAACAAATTAATATAAAAATTAATTAATTAATTATATCAATTCATTAATCCGCTTACTTGTTTTTGTTTGTTTATTCGTTATCAATAGTTAATGAATAACTAAACTAATTAATGTTGAGTTGCGAAATTGCTCGCATTAATGCATAACTTATCTAATTAATATTGCTTTCTTTATTTAGTTGGAATAAATAAATAAATTAAATAAATAAATAAATAAATAATTATTTTTATGTTTATTTGTGTCTTCGTTAGCATTAAATTGATGAATAACTAAACAAATTAGTATTGCTTTGCTTGTTTGCTAGTATTAGTTAGTAAATAACTAAACAAATTAACATTAACTAATATCAATTAACTAATTAATTAATTAATTAATTAATTAATTAATTATTTCTTTGAGTGGTTTGTTATGAATTGTATGTCTCTCAGCGTTCTTCTTACATTCCGTCGTAGAAGAATATCAAAGAGGTTTTTGGAGCAAGGCAGGAGCATCAGTAAAAGCATTTTTTCAGGGTTTGTTTAGAAAAGATAAACGGATGAGTATAGCAAGTACCTGGGGACAGATAAAGAAAGAAGCAGAAGGGCTGCAGCTTGGAAACACAAAAGGCTTTCAAGGAGCTCTCTATGCAACCCAACAGCTAGGGTCCTTATTTATTAAAAGATTTATTACTCCAATTGTTCAGCAGCAAAATGCTTCTCCTATTATGCCGGCTTTAATTTCTTTTATTTTTGCAATCGTCTCTCAGTGGGCAGACTCAACACAATCACAAAAATTCAGTCTTAGCAATCCTCATATACCTAAAGCAAAAAAATTACTCCTCTACAATCTACTCCTACACCGTAAGCAAACCCTAGAATAGAGCTAGGGTTTAGGGTTTAGGGTTTAGGGCTTACGGGACAGGGGCTAGGGTTTACCGTTTAGGGTTTAGGATCCTGTGGGTTTCCTAGTTCAGAGCTAGCCTCCTTTATTCGCCTTCAAAACGAAGACTTGTAAGGCTTATGGTTTAGGGTTTAGCGTTTAGGGTTTAGGGTTTTGTTGTTGCTTCTGCAGCAAAGAGTTTGACTGAAGTAGCTACGCAATTGATAAGGAACGGCTGTGGAGGTGAGTGGGGCGCCTGTGTCTCTATCTCCGTCTCTGTCTCTATCTCTGTGTCTGTCTCTGTCCCTGCATCTGTGTGTCTATCTGAGTCTCTGTCTCTATGTGTTGCTGTCTCTGTCTCTATCTTTGTTGCTGTCTCTGTCTCTATCTTTGCCTCTATCTCTGTTGCTGTCTCTGTCTCTATCTCTGTCTCTGTCTCTGTCTCTATCTCTGTCTCTGTCTCTATCTGCATCTATGTCTCTGTCCCTCTGTCTCCGTTCTCTATAGTATGCTTTTATAAGTGCCTTAACAGCCTCCCCGCCACCCGAAAGACGTGCTGCTGCTACTCATGGTGCTGCTGCTGCTGCTGCTGCTGCTGCTGCTGGTGTTTGCAGAGGTGAAGACGATAGACATGGGTCAGGTGGCTGCAACAGTGGAGTTATCAGGGAAGAGACAGACAGCCGGGCGAACAATTTTAAAGCAAAAGAAAGTTTCTGTTAAGTCTTCGGCATTACCTTATCTTTTAAATAAACTTTTAGCAGAGTATACAGATCCTTTAGATATACTTAGAGTAGCACAAGACCTCGCTTCCCGCTGCAACGCTCCTACAAAGCAAGAAGCACCAAAGAAGAGAAGGATAGTAAGACAGACACAAAACAAATATATATATATATATATATATCAATACCTAAACTGCAATTATTTCAAATACTCCTGCTGCAGCACCAACACATGCAGCACAAGCAGTCGTCTGTTATGCTGCTGCAGCACAAATTGATACAGCACCACTAACAGCTGCAGCTGATGCAGCAGCTGCAGCAGCTGCAGTAGCTGCAGTAGCTGCAGCAGGTGCAGTAGCGAGTGATGCAGGCAGGCCCTTTTATCAGGCGGCAGCGGGAGCATCTGTGAAAGCTGCTGCTGCTGCTACTGCTGCTGCTGCTGCTGAATTTGTGCTGTCTGTTGCTGCTGTTTTGTCTGTATTGCAGCTGAAGAGATCAAAGCCAATAAATCTTGATGATGACAGAGTTGCGCAGATGCTGAGCTCGAAATTTGTCTTAGATTCATGGTGTCTCCTTTATAAAGGTGAGAAGAAAAGAGACTGTCTCCTTTCTGTCTCCTTTTCTTTGTTTGCACACACAGATACAGCAGCAGCCGCAGCAGAAGCAAAACCAACACTAATAACAACAAGAACAGCAACAGAAACACCAGCAGCAGCAACAACAACAACAACAGCAACAACAGCAATAGTACAGCAACACGAATAACAACAAGACCAGCAACAAACAGCAGCAGCAGCAACAGCAACAACAACAAGAGCAGCAGCAGCAGGAGCAGCAGCAGGAGTGTATATATGTTTGTTTTTTTGCTGCAGACTTTGTAGCGAAGAACATGACCGGGGTGCGCAATACGAAGAACGGCAACAAATTATTTTTGCATTTGGAAGCAGAATTAGATAAAACGGCAGAAATTGTTTTGAGACCCTCTGTCTCTGGTGCTGCTGCTGCTTCTTCTTGGGTTCTTAACATCAAATGCCCCTTCATGAAGGACTTCTTAGATGCAGAATTGAGACAAACAACCCGCAGAAAAATGCTCCAATATGCTATCAGTGAGACATTCACGCTAAACCCTCTCTCCTATACATAAATATATATATATATAGACATATAGTTATGTGTATATATATGCATATATATATATATATATATATAGATGC